TAGATAGATAGATAGATAGATAGATAGATAGATAGATAGATAGGGAAAAGAATGAGATAGATAGATAGATAGATAGATAGATAGATAGATAGATAGATAGATATACAGACTGGCAGACAGGTACACATATGAAGAGAATAAGATAGATAGATAGATAGATAGATAGATAGATAGATAGACAAGTACACATATGAACAGACTAAGATAGATAGATAGATAGAGAGATAGATAGAATCAGTCTGAAAGAAATCAAACTGAAAGAAATAGGTACATTGAAATGTCTGGGTCATAATATCAAAATTAGCAATAAACTAAGTAAAATTTAACCGTAAGCCGTAACAAGACGAAAAATAAGTGTATGAAATTAAAAATTCTTTAAGGCATGAACTTCAGTCCCTTCATTGAGGCTACTGGAATCTTTTCCAACCAATCCGAGGGCTCCAACTACAACAGGGATTTTTGATGTTGCCACGAGCCACATTTTTGAGGTTTCGATTTTAAGGTCCTTGTATTTTGATAGATTTTTGAAGATCTTCAAAGATACATTGTAGTCTGCAGGGACTGCTATATCAATAAGGTGGCAATTTTTTGTCTGTGGCCTCTAATAACAATGTGTGAGTGATTGTTCTGTCAGTGTGTATTGTGTAGTCCCATAGAATTGTAACAGGCCCTATCTCTGTAACTGGGTCTGGGTGGTGTTCATACTAATTTCTTTCAGTTTCCTTCCCGTAGAAGTTGCAGAATTTCTAGAGCAGTTATTGGTCCATTCTGTCACGCCGGGTTTTATATTCAGTGGGTGCCAATGCAGTGCAACCTGATACAAAATTATTATTATTATTATTGTGTTTTGCCTTTGCTTTATTATTATTATTATTATTATTATTATTGTGTTTTGCCTTATTATTATTATTATTATTATTATTATTATTATTATTGTGTTTTGCCTTTGCCTTATTATTATTATTATTATTGTGTTTTGCCTTTGCCTTATTATTATTAGTATTATTGTGTTTTGCCTTTGCCTTATTATTATTATTATTATTGTGTTTTGCCTTTGCCTTATTATTATTAGTATTATTGTGTTTTGCCTTTGCCTTATTATTATTATTATTGTGTTTGGCCTTTGCCTTATTATTATTATTGTGTTTTGCCTTTGCCTTATTATTATTATTGTGCTTTGCCTTTGCCTTATTATTATTGTGTTTTGCCTTTGCCTTATTATTATTATTATTATTGTGTTTTGCCTTTGCCTTATTATTATTGTGTTTTGCCTTTGCCTTATTATTATTATTATTATTGTGTTTTGCCTTTGCCTTATTATTATTATTATTATTGTGTTTTGCCTTTGCCTTATTATTATTATTATTATTGTGCTTTGCCTTTGCCTTATTATTATTATTGTGTTTTGCCTTTGCCTTATTATTATTGTGTTTTGCCTTTGCCTTATTATTATTATTATTATTGTGTTTTGCCTTTGCCTTATTATTATTATTATTATTATTGTGTTTTGCCTTTGCCTTATTATTATTATTATTGTGCTTTGCCTTTGCCTTATTATTATTGTGTTTTGCCTTATTATTATTATTATTATTATTATTATTTATGGTATCAGAGTTTAATTTTAAGTGCCTTATTACCAAGTCTCCTCCGGTGTCTAAAACGAGCCACTGTAGGAGAGAGTTATCTATTCACCTTTAGGATGTTTCGATTAGATGAAGAAGGTTTTGGGGATGATATGTGTAGTTCGGGTCAAAGTAATCATTTGTAGATGCTGATGTATCCAGGAATTTTCGTTACCCTTTATAATTCCTAATACCCTAATGACAACAGAGATAATCGTAGTTTTAAGTTTCCAAATTTCCGTTACTCCATTTGCAGGTGCTTACAATTTCACAGATTTTGAAATACTTTTTAGAATCATTGGATATTCTTCTTATTCTTCTTCTTCTTCTTCTTCTTCTTCTTATTATTATTATTATTCCATTATCAGAACTATTCAGCAGAACATTTTTGTTTCCGGTATTATAAAAGCAGATACAAGTCTTGGGATTTTGAGGAATTATTTAAAACTAGTTCCTAAATTTGCAATGAAACGAAAGCACGTCACTGAAAACTTTCTTTGACGCACCTGTCTGATGTCAATTTCATTTCAATATACCGTAATTCTTTACCAAAATTCTTTAACAAAAATTATTATTACGATGACTGTCGTATTGTGAATGATGAATTATTTTCTACCCTACGACCCCTTTCCAACAAACTAAACGTTGCAAGCCTCTCGCTAATCTATCGTTATTTCAATGGTAAGTTCAAACGAACTACATTCCTTAGTTCCACCAGTTTTAAGCTTCACGGCTAAGACCCACCATGCCACGCACACTGTAGTGAACCAACCACATTCCCATTGTATTTCTTTGGTGACATGTAAGTTCCATCCGAGCAACTTCTTCCAACGAACCGCATTTTTGTGGAACCGACTCCCAAGAGGATGTTTCCCCGATCACTACAATATTAACCTGTCTAAGGTGAACCGTTATTTTTACTATATATTTGTCTTAATCATTTCATCTCAAGCAAGGCAATAAACCCACTAAGACGTTGGTGGAGTGAGTATGATTTGTAAAAGCCAAAACTGGCAATGAAACAAGAGCACATTACTGAACACTAACATAGTCGCGCCTCTGTCTTCATCGATTTCTTCATTGGCCTGTTCGGAACGTTTATGTTTACATACCTAATGTGCGTAAAGCCGTATGAGACTAGATGGGAGCGAGATTGAAAGAGGGGGAAAAAAGTATTGTGAAAGAGAAAAAGTCGTTGATGAAGAAATATCCTGCTTTTGATTCGTATTCTTCTTGGCCCGACATTATAAGCTGACCCATCACTTGCTAATCCGAATTCAAGTAATGTACTTGAGGAAATTGTTCAACAGCGAATAATCGGATGAATATTTAAGAGACCCGAGAAAACCGTGTCCATTAAACGTAGAAGTAAGCGCCGAGATTGTCAATAGTTCGATGTCCATTGAGTCGGGAGAGAGGGCTAAAATTTAGTCCATATCCTATTTAAAATCGAGTCAATAAACCGGTTTAATTTAAAAGTACGGAAGTCTAAAATTGCCGGTAATATTATGTGTGATAATACAGCAGTAACTTTAAAAGAAAGGTTGGTTCTAATTTAGTTTTAGAATTATTAGTCGGAATTGGTCTCTTTTTGTTCTGTAGTTATAACGTATAAAGTGTCTACAAGCCCTGGAGCAGAAGTTGGGGATTAGATGTCTATTTTCCTACCGGTAATCTGTACAAAGCAAACAATTTCTGTTTTTGGAAAGAGAAAATGCTACAGACATTAACAGTAAGTTGGTGAATGTTTATAGAAAGCCTGCACTTCATGTAAGCTCAGTAAGAAGATAGGTCAATAGACTTAATGGCAATCCTAAAACAAAACGTGGAATTGAGAAAAGCGGGAATTTTTTTTCCTTGGTACCTTTTTGGTATGCATTGAGTTCTAACATTAAATCTGTTGTAATTAAAGAAAATAAATTACTTTTTGATCGACAGTCTTTACCGCGATTGAGAATAAAGGAGACTATTTTGGGGACAAAATTTGGAATCCTGAGACTTTTGTGTTCATTTTGGTATGCTTTGTGTGCTTCTGCTTTTAAATCTCTTATCATAACTTCAGCGATCTCTTACCACAATTGAGAAAAACAAAAGAAGTATGTTGAAGACTTGAATTGGAATCCTGAGATGAGTTCATTTTGGCGCGATCTTTTGAACATCTACTATTCAAACTGTTGTAACAATAATTAAGGATAAACTTTGCATTTTGTTCAACCCATGTATCTCAAATCAATAACGCCACTAAGAATTCAAAGAGACAGAAGATAAAGATTCTCGTGCGTTTAAATTTCGAAAATCGTAGATGACAGGGAAACTATAGACCCAAAAAAGAGCTCAACAGGCAAGAATAAATTATTAGAATTGAATATCTAGCAATTTCAACAGTAAAAATGATGAGCTGCTAATCTAGTATTCAAATTATTCGAATTAACACTAACAAAGGCAGTAAAGCCACTAAGACACAAAGGATTACTGGGTGGGAAATAATTAGAAAGCAGAAAAATTATTAAAAAACAAGAACAATAGTAATCAGGAGGACAGTAGATGACAATTGACATTGCATTTAAATTTTTGAAGATCAAAGTTAACTTTAAAGCCTGGAGCCGAAAGAGAGTTACACACGCGGGAAATGCGAGAAAAGAAACTGTTAACATAGAACTTACGGTTCCATCTAGCCAACTCAACTGTAAATTGATGAGACCTCATCGTCAGTATAGTACTGCGCTTAAATTCATAAAGTCTAGGTACCATAGCGAAGATATCATCCGAGCAACTACCATGAAAGTATTTATAAAAATGGCTCAGGGAAGCAACTGAAGCCGAGACGCCAGATCAAGACCGATAATATTGCAGATTCTCTGGATTTTATAAAAATCCCTAAATATATCGCAAGAGCACCGGACCATATGTGGCAGCAATGGTATGGGTGAATGGTAGACATATAGATACGTAAGATAGATTCTAGAGAGAAACATTGTCTAGAACAACAGTGTGAGCCAACTTTCTTAGCAGCAGACCTAACAATAGATTCAATATAGTCTTTCCATTTCATGTCAGCCTAGAATATTTGCCTGAAAGGAGACATTACCAAAAGAAAAATATTTATAGAAAGGCATGGGAAATCTACGATTGATTAATTTTTTTTTTTTTTTTGACTTATCAACCTTTTGCAGAAAATATTTTGAGATTGTAAGATTTGGGGGTGAAGAGATAATAATGTTACAAGTCCTAATAATTAACCCATAGTTGGGGGTAGGTACATTCATACCTTCTCCATGGGTATTTTCGCAGAAAAGACTATAACGAACCCGAAACTCGGTTCTTCAATTTCCAATTCTGAGCCAGTATCCATTACACCACCCGCACATCATAGCTTAGAGCACCTGGTATTCACAAGCGGTCGCCCATCTACGTACTGACCAGGCTCGACGTTGCTTAACTTCGCTGATCGTACGAGGACTGATGTTTCAATATGATGTTGTCGTAAGCTCCTCTGGGTGAAATTCATTTTTAAAAAAATAGAGACAACAAATATATGATAAAATTTGTTAAATATTTTTCAAAGTTTTAATTCGGTTATCAATTTAATGACACTTATATAAGAAGCTGCTTAAAATTCTCAGATTGACCCACGTCCTAAAATCTGAACCTAATCACTAAATATAGATTTTTGTGAAGAGATTTTTGGTCAGTCCTAGAGCCTGTCAGTTCTCTCTCCTATCGTACGGAATATTTTTGGAAAATTAAACTGCTACATGTCGGGTAAGGTTATCATCCCACAATTGCATCTCCTTCTTCGGGTAGAGTGCGACTCAATTGTTGTTCCGTCGGAAGACAGTGGCGCAACTGAGGAAAATAATACTGCGAGGCGCCTAGCTCTAGAGAACAGCTGCCAGAGGATGTATCCGATATTGCATTAGATAAGGAGATCGGCGCTCGCCACCGAAGCCAGCGCAACCGATGGTTGCAGGGGATCGGGGAATTTTTGTCCTTGGCCCGAGTCTGCTGGCTCGCAGTCTCCACAATAAGCTCGATCTAACGTCTCAGTGGAGAGGCGACGTAAATATCCATTTATACAAGATGATGCGAATCAACTAAGACCATCTCAAATTCTTTGGATATCTTCGTCAAGTCAGACTGCGTCTTTCAAGCCACTGAACCAGACATCACTGCCGTTGACAAAAAAACTCCCCCCCTACCAAACAAACAAAAAATAAATAAATAGAAATAAAACAAAAATATATCAATGTGGCTGTTCCTGGTGACAACTATCAAGATTAAAAAATGTCTAGATCAACAAATACACCTAAGTCCAGATTGTAGTTTGCAGAATATGAGATTTCAAGCAGCTATTTTCCGAATTGTCCTCGATCTGAAAACTGGAATCATCTTCTTAAATAGCCAAGTCAGATCAAGTCTTCCATATGGATGTCATGCATGGCGCTAAATCCGCTCAGAAATATTCAAACTCTTAGCTGTATACAACTGCTTTCTAAAATCAATAGTTAAAAAAAGGCTTTCAGCGAGTGAACCCTGAGGGTTTTGACAAAGACCATCCTATTTTGGCCATTTTGGACTGGCGCCACAATATGCTTCTAATAAGTAAAGTAAACAAATTCAGAAATAATAACTTCCTTAATCACATATTTTGGGGGAATTAATTCAATTTTTCTTCTTTTTCTCTTCGTTCTCTCCTCCTCCTCCCCTCTACCTCTTCATCTCTCTCATTATCCTTTTCTTTATTATTGTTATTATTATTATTATTATTTTTATTTTCTTTGATTTCTGGCGTTTACACATTTCTTTCCGGGTCCCGCGCAGGGACCTTAGGTTAGAAATGGCGTCATGACACTTTCCACTGACAAAAAAAAAAAAAAAAAAAAAAAAAAAGAATTAAATTACATAGATAAAGCCCTTCGTAAGGTGTGGGCTGTACTTGTCAGAAAAATTTTTCTATCTCCTTGAGGCATGGACTTCCAGGAATCCCTTCAATTAGTCTACTGCAATCTTTTTATTATTATTATTATTATTATTATTATTATTATTAATAATAATATTATTATTATTATTATTATTAAGGCGTCATTATCGTTGTTACGGTTTTCCTATTTCAAAATGGCTGCTGTCAGAAATAACAGAAACCCCATCACTTTAGGACTACCAACAGTGGCAACAACTAAAATGGATAACACATATAACTTGAAGCGAAATTAATGATATTCTACACTACTTCAAATATAAGTTTAAGAAGAAAACCCCCATCAATACTGAAGAGAGCGATAACTGCTACTAGACTTGAGAAACCAATTTTCCTGAAAAAGTGTTTGAAGAGAAACATTTTATAAACTTCACTCGATAGTAATAATGGCTTCTCGGTCAATGTATGCCAAATATAGAGAAACTGTTAATACTATTATCATTACTATTCCATGATTTCACGAGTCTGAGTTGACTAACGACCTCCAGATAGAAATCAGAAGAATGTGGCATCTGAAGACAGCAACATGACCTGTTCTTATTGGGACTTTGAAAATGGTATCAAAAGAAAGCAATCAAATAAGCGGAATGAATTCCTGGAAGTCTTAAAATATGGGAATTGGAAAAGGTTAGATTCATGCGTACTTCGTACATTTTGCATAGGTTCTCTCCATGTAGATGACTATAATTACGTATTTTTTTTAACTCTGATTTCACGCCACCTCATTTGTTTGCATTTACTTATATATATAAAAAAAAATACTTGTCTCTTGAAGTTTCGAGTGGAACTCGTACTACAAAATGCAAAGGCAAAACACAATAATAATAATAATAATAATAATAATAATAATAATAATAATTGAAACCGAGAGAGAGAGAACACATTTAATTGTGAAACACGAAAGATCTTTATTGGATATAACAGTTTCAAAGATAGTAAAAAAAAAAAAAAATGATCGTAGGAGCTAAAAAAAAAAGAAAAAAGAAAAAGATGACCGCCCAAGGAGAGAATTATTGAAAACAGCAGGAATATTAGGGAGGGTTTCCAGAATAGTAAGCAGACTTGCTGTCACGTGACCTCTAGTGAAACCCACATATACTTATGTATATGTAAAGTAAATATACTTCTAATAAGTAAAATAAATAAATTCAGAAATAATAATTTCCTTAATCACATATTTTGGGGGAATTAATTCAATTTTTCTTCTTTTTCTCTTCGTCCTCTCCTCCTCCCCTCCAACTCTTCATCTCTCTCATTATCCTTTTCTTTATTATTATTATTATTATTATTATTATTATTAGGGCGTCATTATCGTTGTTACGGTTTTCCTATTTCAAAATGGCTGCTGTCAGATATCACCTCACTGGCGACATTCATTTTTCTAGCGGAAAGAATTGCGATTTGCCTGGATCATTCAACGCAATCATCTCTTTATTGTCTTGAATCCTTTTCATGCGATTCGGGATTTAAAGCCGACGAGGTGACGTGGGCGTTGTGCGCAATGGCGACAAATAGGGATTAGCTCTAATCGAAGACAAAATCCGAAGTAGGAGCTTAGCTAGAATCATAGAAAACGTTTAAATGTCTAACGAGAGAAACAGGATGGGTCGATCGATCCAGTAGTAACAAAAGCAGTCATAGCAATCAACGCTTCATGTCGAAAATCACCATGCTCACTATGATTGCACTACAGTCAGAACCCAGTATTGTATTCACTATAATAATAATATGAATGAAAATTAAAAAAAAAAAATCATTGGAATTTTAAAATTCAAAAGGGTCAGAGATCTAATTATCACAAACAAAGAGAACAGAATGTGTCTGTTGAATTCGCTGTGCAAGTCGGCCGATGTGTGTAAGCGAATGAACGTTAAAAGAGCTGAAAGAAATTTGAAATTAAATGAAAGATAAAAAAATTAAAAAAAAATAAAATGATGAAAGGTAGAACACTGAAGGAAAATAAAAGGAATTAAAATAAAATGAAGACAATTAAACGAAGAAATGAAAGAAAAAATATAAAAAAAAATTCAAGGAGAAACAAATATGAAAGAAAAATGAAAAATTGAAAAAAAAAAAAAAGCATTTACAAATCTACCATTCGTCCGTGTATTGAATACTTTTGCTATATCTGGTCTATATCTCCTGTTATACATCCCGAGATTCTTAACAAAATGCATAGAAGGACCTGTAATATAATCGATTCTGACTTGGCATTTCGACTTCAGTCACTTTTTCACCGACGTAACATGGCTTCTCTGTCTTTTCTACAAATATTTTCATAGCAACTGCTTTGACGAGCTTTTGTTCCCTGCTACTCCAACTGCATGAATTTAAGTGTGCTACTAGATTGGCATCTAGGTCTTACCTTTTTACTGTTGAAATCGCTAAATTCAACCGCCATTTCTACTCACTTTCTTTTCTAACACTTCCCACCTTCCACTTGTTTGCTTCCCTGATAAATACAATCTTCAAAAATGTAAATGCATCATCAATCGCCAACTACTTCATCTTTTGTACTTTCCTCAATCAGCTCAATTGTGAGTCTTCTCATTCACTTTCATTCCCTGTAACCCCCGCCCTGTGTACTAGTGGCATTCCCACTTTGCTTGGGAGGAAATGATTAAGGAAAAAAAATGAAAGACACTGAAGACACTGAAGGAAGACTTAAAAAATTGAAAGAAAATGACAGAAAAAAAAAAAGAAAGAAAAAGTAAAAAAATTGAACATGAAAATAAGAGCCTTGTCACTTTTAGAATACTTGAAGGAGCTGAAAATCCAAGATAGAATCAACACAAACAGCACTTATAAGGATGCATGGTATACTGAGAAGAGTGTCGGCGTACTGGCGCGAATATTTTTTTTAATCGCGTTAACCCCAAGAAAAGCAAGTCACTAAAACACAAAAGGTTAGTAAGTGTGGAAGAATTAGAAAACAGAAACATTACTAAGAAGTGAGAACAAAAAAAGAGTAATCAGGAGGATAATAGATAGCGATTGACATTGTATTTAAAATATAAAATAATACTGACATTGATAACATATTTTCATATTAATTATACAAAAGGTATATTGACAACGATTTATCATTACTTACGTAGCGACTTGTGATATCTGATCTTTGGGCAATACTATGCCCGGTTTTATAATGATATTTAAACAAGAAGACAGAGAAGCGGAAATATTTTGCAAGAACTGCTCTTATTTCCAGAATAAAATAAAGAAACTTGCCACTTTAGCTTCTGCTGATTAGAAGGGGAAATAGTCTGAGAAAAATAATAGAAAAAGGTAAAATAAATGAAGACAATGGCAAAAGGAGGAGGTGAAGTAGGAGAGAAAAAGAGAAGAAAAAAGAGGGTAGGAAATGTGAAGAAAGAGAAGAAGGGGAATAGAGAAGAAGAATAGCAGGAGGAGAGAATGGCAGGAGGAGATGAAGGGAAACACCGGAGGGTGAGGAGAAGAAAGGAAGAAATGGAGGAGGAAAGGAAAAAGGACGGAATGGAGGGGGA